TACGTTTCAAAGGTGTGAGTATGAAAAAGGAAAAACAAAAATTGACAAGAGCAACAGGAAGAAAAAAGGAAATCAACATTTACCTGTAACTGTAATCTGAAAAGCTGCGTCTCCTTTCCCTTCACTGTTCTTAGCGCTGCATTTGTATTGACCAGCGTCTTCATAACTCACTCGATTAAGCGTGAGCATGTTGTTGGTATCAAGTAACTTTCCATCTTTTGTCCAATTCACCTCTGGTGTAGGAAAACCCTTCACATGGCATTTCACTTGAATAGTTCGATTCAATTTGTCAGACCTCTCTCGCGGAGAATTCATTTTAGGAGGACCTTTTTTCGGAAAAAAATAAAGAAAAAATTCTTTTTCAGCCCAAGCCCAGGCCCTCTCCTTTCCTCACCTTCCATTTAACTTCGCTCACCCACTTAGTGCAAATTTCCTTCTCCTCCTTGTTCGCCGCAGCTGTAAAAATTATAAATGGCAGCAACGATTTTCACTAAGAAAATCTAAGCACTCCTCGCCAAAACTACTGCAATGCTCTTTCCTATTTTCGATCGACCAAAAAAAAACCAAGAAAAAAAAATCTACCATCTAATCAGAAATGATAATACTCTGGCAAAAAAAAAAAAACCAACCAACAAACAAGCAAAAAAAGCAGAGTTCTTAGCTCGGTTCGTGTCACGTTGTTTCACAAAGATAAAAGGGGCGGAAGGAAGGGTGTGTGTGGGGGGCCAATTTCCAAAGAAATTTTGATGCTGTGAGTGGGGGGGGTTTATATACTGTTCATCATGTAAAATGGTCAGCATTATCCCTTCCTCAGAGCTATCGCTCGAAACGTTAGCTTTGAAATTCTTTGCGGTTGCCAATTAAAATTCTCAGCTCAGTTTTTGAAACCAACTCATCCTTCACAAAGAGTTTGGAGGTTAATGAAAGTAAAGTTAAAGGTTATGTGTGAAACATTTTCAGCCAGCAGATGAGTCTTTCTGCTCATCCACAAAATCACTTACATTTGCAGGGCCGTGATTCCTGAGTTCTTGAGCAGTTAAATTCTAGAAGTAGGGTTATCCAGATAGTTAACGATTGGGCGTAAGCCATCTTATTTGTATAAGGAAGGCATCGATTAAAAATAACTGCTGAAGGTTTCTTGATAGTTCCCAGATAAGAAAATACGAGAATGACATAGAGCTCATCGAGTTTCGCATTAATACAACATTGATATACATTTGTTATTTTTGTAACCATACGCGTAGCTTATGTTTGGTTCTCAATCTATTGCATATGGTGTAACGCCCTTGACTTTGATTGCAGTCTATATCGCAACCTATGAACGAGAATCCGTTATTTCTAAAATCTTCTAAATGCGCGTGTTCATGAAGTCTTTAGAGGTTGAAAATCAATGGTGAAACCCGCAATCACACTTTCGAATCACAAATTCAAAAAATTCCCTCTTGTCACTCACCGACTCTTTGGCGATTCTGTCCGTCGCACTCTTTGCAACCGCCACTCCATGATGACCACGCCATGCAACCTTCCAAAACAATAAGTTGTGTGAAAATAGTTAAATGTCAAATCGTTAACTTGTTTCACGCCTATAATCACTTTCCCTGTGCTCTTTCTTTTCTTTACTGCGTAAATCTGCCGCTCACTACAAAAAATACATAAGTAAATTGCTATCATCGTCGACATCCTCAGTCTTTTCTCAGTGATTTATTGGAACTAAAATCTTCAAGTAAAAAGATTAAATACTTTGAGTCTATAAAACACCCTCCTCCCGATTTGTAAGCCTTGTGTGTGTTCCCTCAAGGATTTAGTATGTTATCAAGCCGGGGAAAATGACACTGTTTTCTATTGCTCAAATATATGACTGTACAAAAAAGAAAAAAATTGAAGTTTAATGGATTCAATTCTTAATTCTTTACTTTGCTGTTAAAGCTCCACCAAAAAAGTGGTGTTGTATATTCTTTCACTGATCACCAGATAAACACTGTATCGTGTCTGTATCCTTCTACTGGTAATCATCGTTTGTTCAACTAACTCTATTCTGTCTACTGCTAAATGATAATTCAATCAAGCATGGCTACTTACAATCTATTAAACCGGTTAGGACGAGAATGTTAGATGAACATGAAAAGAAAGATTCACATTCGGTGAGGAAATAAGTGGCTCAACATAACATTGGATTACTTGGCTACACACATCATAAGCTTGACGAACAACTGAACACTTCGTACTCACCCGCTTATGAATCC